GAGCCTCGAGAGCTGGTTGGCTTTCACCCTGCTATATCAATCAGCAGGGGTGTTAAAGCTGCCACGTCATCACAGTCCAACAGGTGGATTGACTGTCACTTCAAAACAGTGGTGCTGTCATTATATGGAAATGCCATGTAGTCACAGACAACTGCATTCACACAAACCACACACATATAAACATAAGCAACTTTAGCACAGAATATATTATAACCTTATACTGTTATTTTTTTAGCACAGAATATATTATAACCTTATTTCGCAGTGTAATGTTCACTAAACTGTCAAGAATTCGCGTGTTCGTTCGGATTTACATGGGCAAAGAAACACAATGATAAGTAATAAAACAACTAAGACAAAATAAAGTGAGATAAATAAATGGATTAAATGAAATAAAAGTCCAAGTACGTAAACTAAGCTGGCAAACTGGAACAAATTAATAATCAGATGTTACAGTTTTCCTAATCATACTTAAATGACTAGGCTATTTGCTTTTTTCAAATTACAAGGCTGACTTGGCACGTGCAGCTTTAACCCAAGTCTTCAATCATTAAATGCAAATTAAACCTCATTTTATAAGGTTCCCATTTTTAATAAACGTCATTTGGAAAAACATCAGCCGAAAACAGCATTTTCATCCAGCTGATGGGTCTAACAAGAGATTAATTAAGCAGTTATCTAAGGCTGAAGTCAAGAATTGTCATTGTTTCAAAAACTATGATAAGATCTGAGTAGAAAAACAGCTCTTACTGTAAACTGCATATTTGCAGACCAGCACTAACTGAGAAAGCTTGGTCCAGCAAACCAACTTGTCAAAAGTGTAAATGAAATGAGAAGAAAATATAAATAACAGAGATTAATTCCAGGACCCAGCTCAGTTGTTGTGTTCCACTGACTGAATATTAAAATACACTCATATCCTGGAATAGCTCAGTTAGAATAGGTGCGTCTCAGTGCTGTATCTGGAACAATCATTTAATCAGTATATCCAGAAGCAATTATGGTCACTCACATCCCACAGAAGCAAGCACACATTCCAGAAGTCATGAACATACTCACAGACTGAGTCATAAAGCACCAGGAGACACTGAGGAAGAAGGTGTGACGTTATTTCCACACAAAATAATCTGGTAGGAATGACACTGAAACATACCACATTACATTCTGATGAAGGTATTTCAAGTAAATACACTCCTCTCCCAACTCCCCCCAGAAATTCTTTAACAAACCTTATTTTAACTTTAAATATACAGTAGATGTACAAAAATATAACAACAGCCCAGACACAAACAAACACATACGCAACTGTGTGAATCATCCTCTGAGTGTTTGTTGACAGACGCTGGTCTCTTTGCTGAGAGACTCTGACAGAGTATTGTATCAGGTCCCAGAGCCACCACACCCAACAGCTCTGTTCTGTTCAGCGTGTCTGTCGGACCCGTCGTGCTAATCATCTGTCTGGTGGTCACTGACTGTCTCTTGGCTGGAAGCACCTCGAGGGTCTGTTTGCACGCATTTTGCACACCAGAGCCTCTTTTTCCCTGACAAGACACATTATCCAGAAACAAAATGTGTCCTTGTACCTTTCTTTGTTATTTGAACCATTTTGCCTAGGGTTTACTTTTGGCACTTTAAGTAAGTTTTGAAGCTAATACTTTTGTACTTAAGTAACATTTTACCACAGGACTTTTACCCGTAAAAGAATATTTTAACGCTGGGGTATTGCTGCTTTTACTTAAGTAAAGACTCTGAGTACTTCTTCCACCACTGCATTCTGTAGTCAAAGACAAAATCCCACTAAGGTGTTCACTGAGGCTGGATTGTACTGTCCTAAGCTACAGTCTGCATGAAAGCAGTGTCTTGATCATTTCTGCAGTAACACAACTGCTGAGGACATACAAGTGAAAAGCTGCTGAAACTCCACTGGTCTGATGAGTTTATAATAATCTGATAGGACCAATTAGTGCTTGATTGGATTGATAATGAATTAATCATGGAGTTCCAGGTCCAAATTTCCTTCTCTTTACTTTATTATTTCTTCAGCACACAAAACTGTCTCACTTCAGCGCTCTTCCTGTCTGAGTTTCCTCCTCAGCGCCAGACAAAGCAGGATAATACTCGGATGAGCATTATCTGAAGACGGCAGCCTCGAATTTACCCAAAGTCCACTCAGAAGAGGAAACTAAGGATGACCTTTGAGAAGGAAGTAAGACAAGAGAAACCTAAATATGGCTCACAAAATCTCAAGAATGCTGCCAGTTAGTAAATGCAAATCTATTTTTAGGTTTAATATAAACTCCAGCTTTTCCTGTGTCAACACTGAACAGTTGGCATATTTACATATTTATCTCTAACAAGGAAAGTACTTGAGGGTTGGGGAATGTCTCTGCTGAATTACAGTGTGTTTCACATGATTCACTGGTGATAAGCTCAAATGTATTTCTCTATGTGTTATAGTTTGTGGACTTTATCCCTGTTTTGTGCTTTTATTTTGGTTAGTTTTCTGTCTTGTGCCACGTCACCTGCCCCAGCTTTACCCCGGTTCACAGTCACCATTCATTATTTCCACCTGCTGCTCATTATCCTCTGGTCACCTGTCTATATATCCTCCTCCCTTCCCTCAATCTCCCACTGGTTCATTTTGTCTTCATGCCCTGTTGCTCTGTCGTCTCTGTTCTCTCAGCTCACCATTCCTGTATCTCTGCCCCGTAACTTAGTACCCATCTCTCATTTGTTCCTGACTTTGATTTGTCTCATTGTTGTCTGAGTTTTTCCACAGTACTTTGGTTATTTTCAATGGTTTGGTTTTCATTTTTGTACCCAACTCCCTGACCTAGTCTTTTTATTTTTTGTTTTAATACATCAAGTTGAGCCTTGTGTTTTGTTCCCGCTTCTTGTTTGGTGTTACATTAAAATACCCTCGACCTCTGCCTTGGCTTGCGTCTGCATATTTGGGTCCTTCCCTTGCCCAAAACTTAACACTGAGCTTTCCAGCAGATTTCTGGTATAATTATCAATTCTTGGAAAAGTTACAACTCAGACGAGAGGTGGCATGAAAGGAATCATACATGAAACTCATGTATTTTACAAAATCATGACTTTTGTAAATGTAACAAAGATATCAGAATTGTCCAGCTGCTGTGTTCATTGCTGTTTATTATTTTCACCTGAAACACTGAGATCATGCAGTTTTTCCCTCAGGAAGTTGCTGCAACTGGTCATTAAATGTTACTGAGGGGCCAGAGTTTGAGGAAAAATACCAAGTCTAAAGGTATTTGGGTCCTTCCCTTGCCCAAAACTTAACACTGAGCTTTCCAGCAGATTTCTGGTATAATTATCAATTCTTGGAAAAGTTACAACTCAGACGAGAGGTGGCATGAAAGAAATCATACATGAAACTCATGTATTTTACAAAATCATGACTTTTGTAAATGTAACAAAGATATCAGAATTGTCCAGCTGCTGTGTTCATTGCTGTTTATTATTTTCACCTGAAACACTGAGATCATGCAGTTTTTCCCTCAGGAAGTTGCTGCAACTGGTCATTAAATGTTACTGAGGGGCCAGAGTTTGAGGAAAAATACCAAGTCTAAAGGCTTTAGTTTTCTCTAACAGGAGAGGAAAATAAAGACTGAGAGGAGATTTATTGTCATGTCATTGTCATTCTTTGCAGTACATTCTGCATATCACATTGCAGTGTATTTTGTAACGCTGTCTTGGGAACTGAACTGACGTCAGATTTCTTCCGCTCATTCAGGTGACGTTAGATCACGGCAGATCTTCGTTTTCCTAATCAGCTCTTCTGCGCTCTCATCCCACCGAGGTCATCCTTCCTTCATCTGCTGGGTCTGTTTCCTTTAAGATCTGGTTTCTATCACTGACTCATAACATTTCTCTCTGCAGACTATTTTTTCTGAAGCACTTTTAAATTGTATGCATTTAAATTAGGTGCACTTAACCTGACAGGACATCACTGGCTCTTGAAGTAAATGTTATGTTTTTTTAATGCTGGAGTTTATAGAACTGTAACTTTTTGAAGAGTTAAGGGCAGAAAAATCACATTATGGTGGAGTTCATAGGTACAGTAATCGTACTGTAGTGTCAGACTACCTCTTGAAAAGTCTGATGGCGTAATCATTTCTGAAAACATGCAAAATTGGTAGCTAAAAAGGTTTAACAATATTTTTTAGAAATGCCAAATATTTACATTTTCTAAATATGAAATTGTGTATTGATAAATTATACATTTGCATATATGTTTTGGATAAATAAAAATACACCCATAATTAAAGTTGATACTTTTAATATCACCAGAAAAATGCGTGTTTTAAATCATATGCATACATAAATCTAGTTGGACAATGACCACTAATCTTTGTATGCTGATTACTTATTTTACTGTTTATTTCCCATCTTTTCACTCATTCTCTTGGATTTCACAGAAGAAGCCGTAGTGTTGTAAAAAACAAATCTGATCTACATCAAAATATACAATTTAATACATTTCCTGCTTTTTAAAACTATGTTCATATACATCCAGAGAGTATGAACTTCAGAGACACCATTATTTGGTTGGTTTTACTGGGATTGAAGGAACTATAATTAACTAAAGTTAAGATGTGTACTAAAGCTTATGATGTGCGTTTGCCAGACAGAAGGTTAAACAAAATGTTTCTAACAACTTGCATTATAGGAAGTGTAGGAACCAGTGGTTCTGTGGCTTTAACCTACTGTAGGAACCAAAAATCAGCCCTCTTCTGGCATTTGTTGCACTTATTTTGGCCATTCTTTTTAAAATTTGTTGTATTAACACGCACCATATTTTTAAAAGGCCGATTACAAATGGTTTTTCTTCACTTTAAAGATGCCAGTCAGAACACTTGCATTAGAAGATGGATTAAGCAGTTTATTGATACAATTACAGTATTTATTTACAACTAACAAAATACACAAACACTTTCAATACCACACAAAAATAATTTAAATAAATACACCCTTTGCAGTGTTATGACAGTGAGCGTCTCTCTCTGTGGCTGGTCTGCTGTTGACAGCTGCTGAGATCCACTGACTCAGGCCTGTGAGGCGATGGGTCCAGGTACTGTTCAAACTCGCTGCGGTCCAGGTCGTACAGGGTGTCCAGCTGGACCTGTTCTAAGTAAAACTCCAGGGGAGGCCCAGCAAAGTGCAGCGGGTTCGCATAGGCCCTGGACTGGCCCTGCTGCACACGGGGACCTGCAGAGGAACTGTTCTGCATGGGCCTGTGCTGACTGCCAAAGTACACCTGAGGCTCCACAGGGTATGCAGGAGGGTTTGGGTACACCACAGTCTTGTTTGAGAAAGTGTGTGTTGGTGCAGTGTCTGGAAAAAGGGGTGTGTTTTGGTAGCTGCTGTGCAAAGGGGTGAAGTTAGCTGGGGAGTCAAGTGTGTTTGGGAAGGTCGCCTGCTGGTTCTGGAGCAGATAGGTGAGGTTGTAGGGCACAGAGACGCATGAGCTGAAAAGTGAGGGGAGAGGAGTGTCTGTGGTCGGGGGCTTGGGGCTCTTCTTCATCTGCTTCCTCCTGCGGGGCCTGTACTTGTAGTTGGGATAATCAATGGTGTGCTGGACCCTCAGACGCTCAGCTTCCTGCATGTATGGGCGCTTCTCAGCCAAGGACATGGCCTTCCATGTTTTTCCTGCAGCAACACAGTGGGGTTAATGATCTGCAAAGCAAAACTGGCCTATACACGGGAGCCAATAACTTAAATGTCATGACTGAAACATTTTATGCTACTGAGCTTTTATTGGACCATTTTGAAATAAGATTAAGTTTTCTCCCATATGAGACTAAATCTAGGCCAAAGATCCTTTCTAACAAGGGAACACACAAACATCTCCTGTGGATACGTTTAATTTAGCAATAGCTTGTCCGTTCATGACATTATCAGGCTGTTCAAAGTCTTACCGAGTATTTTGCTCAGATCCGTGTTTTCCAGGTCTGGGTTGAGCTGCGCCAGCCGCCGGCGCTCTTCTTTGGTCCAGATAATGAAGGCGTTCAGGGGCCTCCTAACTCTCTGCTGTGTTGCGGCCGTCTTCGCTTCGGGGCTGGTGCAGCTGCTGTCTGAGTTCACGGACAACGGGCTGGAGGGCCCCGGGCTCGGTGAGAGGACGTCGCTCTCCCCTTGTGTACAGCCGGAGTCGTTGTCTTCAAACATGGCGCTGTTTGCGCAGAGCTGGAAAGCAGTGGGGTCACGGCTGAAACGCATGGTCACAAAAGGTGGTAATGTTTTGGCTCTGGCGCAGGCCGCTGTCATCTGTTAGAGTGATGTATATATGTAGCCGATCCACCAATAGGAGGCCAGGAGGAGTGGATTTAAGGTGTGAATTCCAGGTGTTTTCTCGGGGTCGGTGATAGGCCCATCTGACGCCCCAAACAACGACCTGACGAAACTTCAGATGGGAGTCTTGAGTCTGTAATACACCTCACAATTAAACTGTTAGGCACTGCAACAATAATAAATTCAATGTCAGCTGAATAAGGCAAATAAATGAACAGACCCCATGAAGTGAGATGTGCTCTATCGATTAGGGGCTTTGAGTAAACCCAATACCAGCCAATACATATAAAATGTTCAGAATTCAATTCAGTCTTATAAAGTGAAAAATTACAATTATATTCTTAGACAAGTTTGGTTTGTTTGCCATATTATTATGTTTGAATTTTGACATTTTTTATATTTCCGAATATTTTACAATACTTCTAATATTTGTGCATAAATACTTCTGACATTCTCGGCCTTTAATTTTTAAAAAGTGTTAAATATTTTTATTCACTTATTAACACTATATTAATTAAATCACACCTTTTCCTATCGGAGAGAAGTGGAATTTAATCAATAGGAGCTGAGAGGCAGGGTATTGATAGCTGCACATCAAAGTTCCCAGGAGGCAGGGCTGGTTACTAATTACATGGAGGCTGTTATCGGCCATCCACTGTCTCTATCAAGGTACATTTTACAGGACTGGAACAAACATGATCAAGGCGTGTTTATTACATGATTACTGCGCACAAATATTTGCTCAACACAAAAACTGATAGGTGTGCACAAAGGGGGCGCGACGAGCTCGCCTTCAGAAAACACGGAATACATCTTACATTTATTAACTATTAATACATTAACCTTAATTAAAAGACGATGAAAATTGACAGACTGACTTTCCAGAAGGCAGCTCAGGCGTTGGGCTGACAAAAGTGTATTGAAATGAGTGAAAACTCCAACAGAGAGGCAGACTCACAGAAACTAGAGCAGGATGACTGCTGCATCATTCATACATTTCTTTTACTAACAAGTAACATGGACTATCACTTCAGAAGCGCACTTGTAGTAAAAATATTTAAATTATAAAAATGTTTTAGTCCAAACACAAACACTTCTTAATATGAAATAATGGCTTGAGTATGATGATACAAAGAATGAGAAACAGGCTACAGGCAGCCTACAGTTGTTCACGCTAATTCCTATTGTCAAAATATGATTAATTATATCTACGGATCTTATAATAGCTATAAAAACAGCTAAACTAAAAAAAATAATTTAAAACCGTGTACCCACAAATACCAGACTCCAGAGAATCGCCTAAGGCGTGTTGACACCCCCCATTACAGGTGATCGCTTCTTCTATATGGTTTCTATAAACATCTGTTTTTGGTTAACGACAACAAACAATAGATGCCATTATGCAGCAGCAGCAGCAAAGCTGGATCTACAATACACGGCCTGGCCTGCTGTGATGCCTGCACCTGCACCGCTGTGTCCCGGCAGACGAGTCACTTGTGCAGCTTCTTTAAATTGTAAATGTTGTGCGTTATGGTTTTAGCGCAGGGAGGGTTAATACACAAGGGAAATGAAGGCTGTTGGAAGTACCTATTTTGCTGTAATCTGAATGCGAATTTGACAACGATGAACTTGCAGAAAACGTACAAAGCCTCTACTTCAAAGCAGTGACCAAAGTCACGTTGTTTAGGTTGGGCGACATTTTGGACTTTAACCCTCGTTAATCACGCGTAATGACGCTTGATATCATTTGCCAATGATCAATCCTATGTCACTGACAAATTCAGTAAGACGAGTGATTAAGGCACCGTGCTCCTTCACTCCATTTGACAGCTAAACCCATCTGAATCAGTCGAAACTGATATGTGCCCTAAATAGATAACGTTAAAAGTTTCAACGCATCAGTAAAAGCCTGAGAAACTGGGACTTTTCTTGGTATAGACTCGAGTCTAAAAAACAGAACTATTCATCCAACTAAACCCTGGTTGTCTGTGGTGTGTTTGTATTTCCTGGAGGGGGAGATTATGTCTTTTTTCACAGGTTAACAGATTTAGAGGTTGAATCCACATCCGCGGTGTTAAAAGGGACGCACGCCCCAAAACGCTGTGAAAAGCGCTAATGGATTTAAATAATTAGTTTGAAGGACACAGTGTGAATACAATAACAGTTAGTTTCGGCTGATCTTCTGTGTAAATTTAGACGGTTAAATAATAGACAGAATATCTGGAATTAACTTTTGGATATTGTAGTTTTAATTATGTGAAGAACCTTTAGCCCACTGAAGGTTATTTTGCTGTATTTCATTAAACACGTGTAATTTATCCTTTATTCTGGTCCTGTTATTGAAACCTAATCTCTGAGCTGACAGTAGAGTATCATTGCATTGTCTCATAGTCAAACAAGCTAAATGGGCACTATGCTTTCTGAATAGGGATTGTTGTCTGTGGCTTTCTGATCACAATGTGCTATTGTATTGGACAGAACTCATATATGAGACACTCCTCTCCTGACTCAGTTTGGATCAGTGATGACCAGGCTGGCACAGGTAGAGCTGCAAGAGGGACAACTTGGCAGGATTTACAGTGGCCCTCCTGAAGTCTTGGCTGTTCTCTGTGATGTCTGGATTGAATATTGTCGGGATTTGGAGCATCTGGTAGAACATGCTAAGAATGGTGTTGGGGTGGATCACCTGAGTTTTCAGTTGTGGACTGGAGCTTTTTGTCAGCGATGCGAATTCTCTTGGGGCTGCTGAACATTTGACTTGGCACTTTTCTTTTCTTGTTGTGGATATTGTATTTGGTGCAGGATATGCTGACCTGAAGATATTTCAGCAATTAAATGGAAGAAAACTGCTGAAGGGTCCTGGCCTCTGATAATGAAGCATTGTATTCCAACCTACCTTTGGTGCCATCCCACCAGTTTTCCTTACAGTGGTTCATTCATAAAGAGAGCCATTGTTTCATAGATGGAAGGTGTGAAGGGGATGTAATGCTGTTGACTCAGGTGACCATGATCTTCGCAGTGACGGACTGTATTGCGTTGTGTTGTATTGTATGGACACAGCAGGCCAGCATCAAGATACACTGTGCCAAGTCTTAGACCCCAGTCTACTGTATGCAGTGGTCTGGACCCCCCAATCACACGTTTGAGCAGATTCAACAGTAGACAGAGGCCTGTGGGGCCCTGAGTGCTAGCCTCCACACTCCTCGTGTAAACAGTGCCCTGCCCAGCCCTACATCAGGCCAGCTGAGAGGATTACATGCCCCCTGGTGTAGACAGGCTTAATGTAGCCTCATTAGCAGAACACAATAATGCCGCCACCTATAAGCAGAGATAACCAGCCAGGCCCTGTTGGACTTCAAACTCTGCTCAGACTCTAGCCCAGGTACCACACTGTGCAGCCAAAAAGATGAGGAGGCACTTGGGTGCTGAGGATGTATGCACTGTTTTAATCCATTTTCTATCATTTTAGGGGCTGAAACGATCGATCAATTAATTGTTGAAGTCATTCATTCTGCAAAAATTCCAAATGCTTGCTTTTTCCAGTTAAAAATGTGAACATTTACTACTTCAACTGTTTGAGAATGTTAGTTGAAGGAAACAAGCAACGCGAAGAAATGTTTACACTTTTTAAAAATGTATTTATTGAATATAAAAGTTTGAATTACCTAGCACAAGACACCAAATTGCAATAGAACTGAGAACACAAGTGCCAAATGACACAAACTTAAATAATTTAAAATAAGAAAAGAGATAAAGAAATGGTGAATAGACAAGTTTTAAAAAATGAGATTAAGTGCATTGAGGATTATTTAAAAAAATGTATAGGGAGTTTTAAAAAAGACTTGATAGCTTTTAAAAACTTTTCTGACATTTTCAGACTAAACAATTAGTTAATTTTAAACGTAGTCTACATATAAAATAAATCTTAGTTGCAGCTCTTCATCCTATTAAAAATCTGAATTATTTAGTTTATAAATCTGTTATTGTGATATATGGCTCATAATTTTAATTCATGCAAGAACAAATACTGTAACTTCAAACGATTCTTTCACTAAGGGCTTTTGTAATTTTCTTTCATCAGTTTGCCAAGCAGACTTTCTCAGACTGAGGCTGGATAATGAGGCAAAGCTCCACTCTTGCTGAAAAACAGCACTATTCTTTGTAAATTAGGAATTGTATTCTACACTGGCTACTGATAAGAGACTTATCTGACAATTTCAGCAAGTCTCCCACATCTTTTATTGTCAGTATTGACAAGTATTTAACTGTATTACCACAGCAGGCCATTTATTACACCTGCACTTCTGCATGGAAATAGTCTTCTTTCTGTCTAGTTTATGTTTGTCTGACCCTGATCCCAGACCTGTGTCATATATCTCTCCTCAGCAGACAGAGGAGAAAGAGGCCTGCATTTAGTTGTAATTAGCCCTAATTCTTAATTGGAACTAGACTGAGACCTGTGAGACACCATGATCTTTGTGTCTGTCTTCAATGGCTCATTCAAGGTAGCAGACAACCAAAACAATCTGACCTGGTCAACTCCAGCAGCAACGCTTGAATGTTTAATTAAATAGCGTGAACGGGTTAGACTCAGACATTAGATTATTTGGAACAGAAACCACAGACAAAATGTCTGCCTTGAACAGACTAACAAATCTTTTTAGCCAAAATGAATGACTGTTTTCTTAACTGCAACTGGGTGATGCTTGATTTAATTTCTTTATTCTTTTATGCAAACTTTGTACGACCACACACTCAGAGTTGATGTTTGTGTCTCTCTAAACTTTTAGCTCGCTCTTTTTCTCTCTTCTGCTCGTCTGAGACCTTATACAAATTCAAAAGGATCTGCTGCTTTGAAGATAAGCACTGTAGTTCTGCCATAAACAATGATTGTGCTGTTTCTTTCCTGTGGTGTGATTTATTTAAAGTATTATGCTGTAAGGATTTGGGTTGGTTTTCCTGGCAGGGCCGGCTGTGTATGTATCCACGACTTGTGTAGTTTATTGGATACTTCAGCTTCAGGAAGACGTGCAGGGAACCACAAGTAAAGTCATCAAAGTGCAACCTTTGATTTGGATGAAAACAAATTATAAAATCTGCAAATAATACAATGTTCTTTACTGGATGCTAATGTTGACTTAATAAAATCTATTATATTTAACTCACTGCTTGGTACATTGTTTCTTCTTGTCAGTTTTTATTTCTGCAGAACCGAGACCTCACTAATATGGCAAGGGGGGCTTTGTATCGGAAAAACAATGCTTGTGGTCTTATGCACGCACACACACAAACATATGTTTCCTTTGATAAACTGTTTTTTAATTTTATGTCAGTGCCCCTTAAGACAGTATCTGTGTAAAATACCAACTTATTTATAGCATGTGTGCCATTTTGACATATAAAATAAACGTGTAATGGAGAGTTCAAATGCAAGTGGCCCATTATCCAACCAAATCCCATGAGACTATATTCTGGTACAGGCAGGGTGTAAATCGCCATCGAGTATTGTGTAATATTGCAAAAATGAGATTCTTCATTGTAACAACCTGGATTTTATTCTAAATGTCTGGACTGACAGTGATGAACACCACATATCAAAGCATTAGTGTTTCTTCATGGCAATTTGTCTTTAAAGCATAACCTGGTAATGTTGCATGTATGCGTTTGCCTGAGGTTATACTCCAAGAGGGAGAGGAGAGGGCTCTTTTGGATGTCCACACCAGGATACAGCTGGCTATGACTAATTTCAAACTCCCTTCTAGGGCCTAGGCAACCCATTTACACAAGTAACACACATCACCAGGCATCTGTTTCCTGTTTTCATTCTATGAGTTATCTTATTTTCCTTATTTCCCCCTCACCTGTTACAGTTCACGTTCCTTCCATTATGAGGCACGGGCCGGTTACGCTTGTACACGAGGCCGTCAGGCGTTTGCCACTCAAAGCCATAGAAATACTCATGAATGTGGTGTAAGTCATATTATAAATATACAATATATAACTTATGACTAAATTATTTCAAAAACTAACATATCTGAAAATGTAGTTTGAGAAAATTCAGTGTGAAAAACCAAAAGCTGCTTTTTCCTTTTTAATTTTTATGACATTACATATTTAACATACCAGCCACATTATCTGCCAAGTTTGCAAAAAGTTAATGCACAAACATTTATTTAACATCTAACACTTACGAACTGTAATATTTAAGCAGCTTCTCATCAGTTGGTTTCAAGATCTTCTTCTCTGACATGTTAACAACCCAGCCTGGAGAGAGGCCAAAGAAGATCTGTCGGATGTCCTTCCTCATGGAGAGCATATGATACAGTTCATCCTTTGAAATGTCTGGCAAAACATATCCATACTTCTGTGCCAGGGCTATCCGTGCCTGATGGATTTTCTCTGGGTCTGCCAAGTAACCCCGGTTTTGAGCATCTGTGTAGTAAGGAACCATTTCCTCCCCTGGTAACATTCGCTTTGGAATCGGCTGCCCACGCAAGAAGAACGGGACCGGCTTGATGAGAATACCTGCAGAAATATGTTTGTCTTTCATGAGATTAAAATGCTATCATATTGGTGAGTGCATAAAGCTCAATGTTCATTAGTTACCGAGACTTATAGGATCGTAGAAACTGGTCGTGATGATGCCACCATTCCTCTCAATAGCAGCTATGGCTCCTTCAGAAGCTCTCTGAACCTCAATGTTGACTTTTGCAACAAAAATATCGGAACCCTAGAACAGAAAAAAAAAACCTGATGAAAAGTTGAACTTGTGGCAGAGCAAGGTGAAAAAACAGTCACAAACAACATCTTGATCTGTCTGTCACATGAGACCACATTGTGATGTGGTGCCATCTAGTGGCCCAAAATGATCCATGAACCACAGACTGCCCTGTTGATGACTGGGCACCCAACTTTCTTGTCAACATTACATCCTTCCCTTGCAGGTATGCAAAAGCTATGTAACATATCTTTAAAGCTAATACACAGCTTGACTGCAGCCATTACAGAAAATATATCTGTACTGTGATTCCCTCAAACATTTTATTTACTGCAGTTGGTAGAATTTGGGATATTCAAGTATAGGATGTATTCTGTGCTGATCAAATGTGAAAGCCCACTCCTCAAATCTCCCCTGACATAAGACATGGAAAATAAAGAAATTACTAGCCCTTTCATCCACTTTTTATGACTAGGACAAATGATTTGCCCCACAATTTTTGTAGACGAACACTAAGTCTTTCATTTGGCAAAAGTAAAACATTTTACTTCGCTAAAAATCAGTCTTCACAGTGAATTGTTCTAATCATGCTTCTTCCATTCACACACACATAAAAATCATCAACGATTAATGGCAGGTGTGAAAAAAAAAATCCATGATCAACAACATGCTTTACGCACACAGCAGCTACCTCGTCAACAAGCTGGACTCCATGGTCTCTCTTCAAAGGCTGGACTGTCACACCTCTGGCATTGACAAGCTGGGTCAGGTCTATGGGTTGGGTTGGGTCGACTCTTCCCAGATCAATCAAGTACTGCAGCCGTTTCAAAGACAGAGGCGGGTACTGAGGCCGGAGACTGAGGAAGAGCAAAGGAATGTGTTGGCAACTGATTAAAATCGTTTGGGAGAATGTGGTGCTCGTCTTCAAAAAAAGAACATAGGTTAACTTAGTGTAGTGATCCAAATGAACTTCTCTCAATGAGCTAATCTTAAAATGAACACATACTGTCATTTGTGAAAGAATTCAAACTAAACCATTTCTCTTTAGCTCTAGATTACCATTTTGTTTTGAAAATGCAACTGGGGTCTTAGGCTGAAAAATGTTGCTATTGTTTGAAAAACCCAAGTGCATCAACATACATAGGATTTGGTAGACTGTTGCTGACAGAAGTTAACAGTGACATCACTTCAGAACCATAACATGTGAATTTAGTCCAGCCCGTTTTTTACTAAACAAACACAAAGTGTACGTTTTTGTAATTGCCACACTATTACTGACCAGCAGACTTGAGAAAATATTTAAGACATTTCAAACATCTAAAGGCCTTGTTTTGAGATTGAAATCAATGCACTGCAATACTTTTCAGAGCTTGCAGGTACCCTGTAGACAACATTATCCTTAGGCTGACAGTATATCAACGTGTAACTTATGATCTGGGGCAATTTCGTTTGTGTAACAGCCAAAAAGGCACATTTTACTGACTGCATTGGTCAAGTGGAACACAGAGCGGTCACTTCTTACCTGTGTCCTTCATTGTAGCCATATTTTGGAATAACCAGATAAAAGGGAGTTTGACCCCCTTCAAATCCCAGCCGAGGTCGGTTGCCTCTCTGTCGCTCTCCTTTATGTCCTCGGCCGCTTCTGTTGCCACCATGCTGTCCTCTTCCCCGCCGTTTCTCCTACAATTACAAGAAAACTGAGGAAGGGGTTTTCTCTAGCTTACAAATATAACATCTATGGTTAGCACTCGTCTCCACTAGCTAACTAGCGATGGTTAGCATGCTAACTAGCAATGATACATAGATTATGCTGCTAGTGAGAGCAATAATAAAGTTATAAAATTGAAGCTGACTTCTTTTCTGGCTCCTGGTTCAGGCCGCAAGTTTGCCAAAGTTATTCGCGGCAGGCTCTGCACAAACTCTAACGCTTTCCCACCCGGTTTTTTAGGTCAAGAAATTTTTTTTTATGTTCCTGCTGCTCACATGTCAGTGAGCCAAACCAAGGACATACTAGACACGTGACAGAAATGAGCGGAAGTACTTGCTATTTAGCTCGGCGGCTTTTCGAAACAAAAGCACGAGAGTCAAAATACTCTGCATAAAGTTGGTGGAAAAGTCGGATTTCGTGCATATTTGGTGAATGTTATTAAATATTGGTATTGTAAAGGTATAAAGGTCTATTCAATAAGCAAACAGGCAAAATAAAACAGATTAGCAGTTTAGTCTTGTACTTATGAGAGGCTGAAATGTGCCTTGCTATCATTAAGTAGGATTTAACCCCTTTTAAAGCAGCGCTCATTGACATTTCAACGAACCAATATCTGTTTTGGATTTGTAAACGATTTTTAATGACAGCCAATAACGTAGTGGCGGGGGAGGGATCATAAAGCATCTCGGTGCCATTGGCACCTAATGTGCAAATGGCTAGCGTAAGCTTTCGGTGTATTATTTCCTAACATAGTTTGTTCCTAGTAATACAGGAAGAAGGGTGGACATGGCAGTCGTCATCGGTTGACATTTGTTCTTTAGCTGTTTCATACTGGATAGAGTTGGGCTAAGGTAGACACAGACTAACCGATAGAATATCGTTGTTAGGGGTAGCTAACTTCTCCATACACATCAGCTGCCTCAGCGCTGTATGTGCGGTAATACAATGTCCGCGCCTTTGCCTGCTATTGTGCCTGCTGCCCGCAGAGCCACTGCAGCGGTGAGTTCATCAAGATACGTTGGAATTTAGACCAAAAGCAGTTTGACTGACAGTAACGGGTACCTACAAATTCTGATATGCATTGACTTGTAGCTAGCTTCCTGTCTAAGTAGGTGTTTTTGTTTTTCTCAGGTGATATTTCTGCATGGCCTTGGCGACACTGGGTATGTAGAGAGTGTTTTCACCACCGATGCATAAATTATTAGAGTTTGTAACACAGGCAAATAGACTGTACTCAGTAATAGAAAGTAACTAAGTATATTTACTCTATTACTGTGCTTAGGTACAATTTAGAAGTATGTGAGTATTTCAGCTTACTGCTGCTTCTAGTTCATTATGACTCAGGCAAATATTCAGTTGTTTATGGTTTCTTTGATCATTTCAGATGCTAGTTACCTTGCATATTCAGATTAATACAAAATAGCATCAACAAATGCACTCTGATGTAATATTATAGGTTATTTACTAAGATTGTATATATTTTCTGAATAATCAAACGAACTGCTGTACTGTTTTGTTGTTTTGCTGTGCTAAACAGTACACAGGACATATTTTTGACATTTTTAATATTTGGGAGGCACTTTTTTCTGTGCTATGCCAGTATTAAAATGTTAAACTGATATCTCGTTATTATGACAATGAAAAAGTATTGAGTTGAATTGATAAATGGGCCGGGGCATGGTGTCTTCCCACTTTGCTACATTTACCAAAGTATAAGATTTGAGAACTTGTTCCACCATTGACTATATTTAAAACTGGTTTAATGTTGTCCAATATGACAGGCATGGCTGGGCTGAAGCTTTCACAGGCATCAGGATACCACATGTGAAATACATCTGTCCTCATGCGTAAGTATTCACCCAATCCGTAACATTACATAGGGTGCCTGCAAGTCTGAGAGCACCTAACTAGTAACTAGATCATATAATCTTGAATGTTGTGTTTCATATAATTGGCATTAACGTGTGTAAAAATGAATAAATATGTTCACTAGGGCTGTACCCGACTAAGAATTTTGTCAGTCAACTCAGATTCAGCTGTTCAGTCCGACTATTCAACTGTTTGTTATTATATAGCATAGACTGTCAGAAAATCAACTGCCGTGAATTTCACTGATGATTTAGACCACATTTAACATTAGTAATCAAATGTAAAGGAGTGATGGAAACATATTTCTGAGTGTTTAAAAATCAATGAAGGCGGCTGCATATGATGCAAGATTTAAATTGCAACATATTTAATTTGACAATATACAATGTCTTATGGATTTGTTGGAATAATGACACAGGCAGTACACTTCTATTTTTGTTAAAATAGTGCTCTTATAGGCATTTTTAAGTCAACTTTGAGGGGGCAGCCCTAGTGTTCACCCTTATTTACAGTGTATAGTTAGGCAAAATAGTGATGTTACTTTTCTCCAATGATTACAGTCCCACCATGCCTGTTTCTTTGAACATGAGAATGTCCATGCCTTCTTGGTAAGTGTCAGAGTATTTGAATATGTCTGAACAGATTGCATGGCTGTCACATACATATTAAACTCCGTATTTGTTTTCTCATGTATAGGTTTGATATTTATGGGTTGAGTCCAGATGCAGGTGAAGATGAGAGTGGTATTAAAAGAGCGTCAGAGAACAGTATGTCTATAAAATTTATTGAATTTTTGTACTAGATTAGGAATATGGATCATATGCCTAAAGAGTTTGTCTACATGTTTTCTTTGATTCTCCACAGTTAAAGCTTTGATAGACCAAGAAGTGAAGAATGGAATACCTTCACACAGAATTATCCTCGGGGGATTTTCGCAGGCAAGTGTGGCATGATGATGTGTTACATAACATTGTTTATACTGTGAGTCACCACTGGTGTACATAATGTATTTAAATAACCAAATCCAAAAGATACATACACCCATACAGCATACAAGTGCACTTCTCAAGGGACAGCGTCTTAAAATATAAGTGTATACATTTGAAAAAACACGTTTTGGATTAACAGACATTACAGTGAGTACACGAAATTCACTGTTGGTTTTAGTATCTATAGGATTTGTGGAACAACAAAAATTTGAAAATTATCCTTTATAGTCATAAAAATATGTGACCATGCAAGATTAAAAAAGTGTTGTTGTTTTTCCAGGGTGGAGCGCTGTCTCTCTACACGGCTCTGACAACTCAGCAGAAACTTGCTGGAGTGATCGCTCTAAGCTGCTGGCTTCCTCTCCACAGCTCCTTCCCTCAGGTAGAAAAAAGATATGATACAGACCACACTGTGTACACTGTGCTGTTTACATGCTCACTGCATTAAATGCAAATTATTGAGTAGTTCAGTGAATAGAACAGTTCAAACTCATCATGTTGTTTGTTAATTTCAAATTAATGTAGCACCACACATCATTTAAATGCCCAAAATATACATAAAATGTACTGTGAGCAATTCTTTTAATCAAATTACAATTAGGGCTATCACATAGCAAAGTCATAATCTGATAATGAGACTGATCTCTTTTATTCTTAGGCATCTGCCAATTGTGTTAACAAGGACGTGCATGTCCTGCAGTGCCACGGGGATGCTGACCCCCTGGTCCCCTTTATATTTGGCAGACAGGCAGCAGAGAAGATGAAAAGCCTCATCAACCCTTCCAACTACACTTTCAAGTCGTATCGGGGTGTACCTCACAGTGCCTGTCCAGAGGTCAGACTGGAAAAAGTCACATTTGGCACTGAATCTCTAGTTGTTTTCTGTATTATGTATAGCTTTTATTTTCTTTTGTATCTGCAGGAAATGGTGGATATCAAACATTTCATAGAGAAGCAGCTTCCTCCCATCAGTGCTATATGAACTCAGGAGTGTCTGCACAGCTAGACGCTATCATCAGAATCCTTTGGAACTGACTCCAGTGAGACCTGGTGGGCTCGAGGACTGACATGATGATAAAATCATGCTGCTATTTATAGAGCCAGACAGGACTGGGGCTGCTACACGTCAGCCTGGGAGCCGCATGACTTAAATGATGTTACGTCCTAACCTGGAGCCGCACACAATCCTCAGTGTTACAGTAGAGTAACACTAGTTGCTTGATTGTAAAGTAACTTGCTATTAAGATGAGCCATTATCTGCAGGAAACGTATGTACTGGAATCAATAGGGCTATACTTTATGGTTTAATACGTAATGTCTCACAATACATGGCCTGTTGTTAAATGCTTTTAATTAATGTAGTTTATCTGTAGCAGTACTGAAATGTCCTGATTTTCTCAGTTTTAAATTATAATTAAAATAATAATGGTGTTTGTATTTGTCAAGCAAAACAGCCAACTTAAAGAGATCCATTCTGTAACATGAGATTTTTTTTCCAGTTCTTCTGGTATCTTAGACAAAACTTCAAAAATAGAAAAAAAAAAACAGACCATTCAGAGGAAAATTGTTTTTTTTTTTTGCCGCACTAACTTGTAGAATATTACATTTGTTAAACTAATCACAGCATAAGGCATTTGCAAACAAAGCACATATGCAGAGATCATATTATTTTAAAGCAGCTTAATACACCACCCATGTATGAAACCTGTCAAATAATAGTTTATCAAATATTTTGAAGCTTTTTGGAACATGACAGGAAACACAACATATGATTGATTGTGCTTTATTTTATTTGTGAGAATTCAAATAGCTATTTCACACATACCTTTTTAAATACATAAATATATCAGTGGTCACGGTCACATATTCTGTTTTTTCTTTAATATATTATGACTAATATCACTGTATTGAAACACACTGACATGATCTGTTTCTGGGTATCAGCTCATCCAGTTGTAAAAACATTATCTTTGAGAAGAGCTGAAAGCACCAACATACAAAGTCATTGTTGCACCGTCCATGTTGGACCGAAGGTGCGAATGTAGAAGATCGTATTCCAAGGCACTTTCCTTCTTCTTAAGTCACAGTTAAATAAAATTTACTAGTGTCTACAAGAACTGGATATGCATTAAGGCCCACAATATACCGAAATACAAATACAGTGCTCACAGATGCATGCTCTCCCTCATTAAACAAGGTAGAAAAGTGCAATGTCAAGCTCTAGGGAGTGTATAAAAATATAGATATGTTTTTGAACAAGTAACTGTGATGCTTATCTTAGCATTTGTTCTTGTTTGCTCCAGGGATTTTGGTAAGCTAATCATGGATAAATAATAAAGTTACAGCTGGATAAAGACTGGTTTTAAGTAGTGTTCATTTTCCTGTCTCTTTCTTTAAATAGCAGCCCTCCAGCAAGAACACAAAACTCCTTCGAGTGGGACGCATGCACCAATGTCAAAAGCAAAGTGTGCTGCAGTGAAGAGTCTATGGCTCAGGTGGAGGCTCCTCCAGGTTCTTCACCAGATCTGTGTACACAGCTGAGTTTATAAAGCGGGGATACGAGTCTCTCTGCATCAGTGTGTAGATCTGCTGCTGAGCGTCATCAAATGTGTGCGAGGTTGGCTCCAGCATGTTGCGGTTGATCACATCTCGAACCCGAGAATCCAAACTGACCTGGAGAAGATGGCGAGACACAGGAGTGGTGATCAACTAGATGTAAACGCATCATCTAAAGTCATCAGGTAATTTGTTGAATGACACAAAAACTTAAATGGTACGTAAATGCCAATTTCTACTTTGCTCTTCCCAGATAGAATAGGCTATATAAATAATGTGACATGGGGAATGTGGATTAGCCTCAAACAAAATGTACTATCAGTGAGAATTAGCCAAGGATGTATTATAGGAGCTGGATCTCAGGCTGAAAGATGGCACCCAGTCGCTTGAATGAAAACTTCACATCTGGCGCGTGAGCTTCTGGGTTTGCTTCAGTGCACTTGTGCCTGAATGTTTCCGTATCTGCCTTGGCTGGTGCGTTCCCGCTTTGCTCATATACTTTACAACAGGATGATGTCACAAAAAGAAAACTGTTTTCTACGCTCTTGGAAAGCTTTACAAATATCAAACCTCCATGGAGTAAGCATTCATAATAAAAGTGATAATTGACCTGGTCTGTGGCTGAAGGTGTTCTGTCAACAGTTTGACTAAGCCATAGGGGATTTTTGTTGCAGTACAATGAGTGGCCACAGGGAAACATTAGCTGTGTGGCAACATTGGAAAATTACCATTCAAAAGGCCAAGCTAGTCTTTCTATGTGTTAATTTTGTCCAGATATTGAATATACAATACTATAAAATAGAGAAAGCAGCAAGTCCTCACATTTGAGGCCAGGGGGTGCTTGGCTTTTTCCCTTAGATAAATGAATTACCTGATTAACCAATTATAATTAAATAATTCAGTTAGTTGATCATTAATTTCCTGTCAGTTGACCAACAGATTAATTTGTGGCATTAACATCATGCAGTCCCCTTGAGAAAATGCCCAGCCTTAGTGGCTCACCTCTTTAGGGGAAAGGATCGAGACAAAGTCCTCATATATTTGACGGACTTTATCCTCCACCACAGTCTTGTTGGTCTCCTTTTTGAGCTCCTCGCAGGCGAGCCAGAACATTATGTTTTCCTCACTGAACTCTGACCGCAGAAACTGCCTGAAGCAGCTGCGACCTGCCGCGCTCTTCATCACCTTCTCAAACGACATCGACCAGGAGTGGACATCTTCCAGAGTAGGCTTCGGGCTTAAGAACAGAAAAGTACTGAAATGGTTAATTTTTTATTTATTTTTTTTTACTAATAATAGCACACCATATACTAAAACAATGTGGCGTCTTGTTGAAATGTTCCTTGGAGGGTTTACAATGCTTATGCATTACCTTTCTTCACAGTTAGCGGTTTCCCCTGGCTTGCGTTCAAAGGTGGATCTCTGAATTGACTCATCCTCACTCCTAACAGTCAAACTGGAAATAAAATAAACAGAGTGTTGTTTAGCTCTAATCATGTAGCTATTTACTGCAAAGTAGCTTGTCAACCAGGTTTGATTTCCTCACCAGAGCACTTAAATAGCTCTAAAATACTATAAATGTCAGCTTTTCTCACTATAAATAATGCATATATTTGTCAAATACACATGCAAAACTGCAGTATGACTTACATTGCAGGGCCAATAGTATGGAGAAATACAAACATTATCCTTTTGGTTGCTGGACCTAATGAGATGTCAAATTTCCTCCAAGTGAAACAAGGAAAATCTTTGGAGTCACAAGTACAAAGTGCCTCATTTTAAGAGGTCATGAACCAAGAACACTGGAAGCCACTGGTCTCAAATATCCTTATGCGATCCTTTATTAATTACAGTGTAAAGAGCTATTGCGCTCATTGATTTTCTCCATTATAGCATACAGGTGTTGTATATTGCACATGTTTTTGTACCACTTTTGAAATAACAGAACACTTCCAGTAGGTACAGGATGTCCTACTGGGAATGACTGCATGAATATTTAACTGTGTCAAATGTCCACCTTGTCCTGTGGGGATCACCTGTGTGTAATTAAAATGTTCCTAACACTTGATGGAGCAGCTGGCACTAGACTAATTGGTTGAGGCGAGAGTCCATTGTGAGCCATCCCATCTGGGAATGTGGCTGTTGTAACTGTGCAACAATTAGAGTTGGTATAGATGCAGAGACAAAAATCTTACTTATCCCTGGTGGAGTGAGGTTGGCCATCCTCAGAGGAAGCTCAAGTAAATGGTTGATAACTTCAAAACAGATTAAAACCCCTGAGACCTCCAGCCAGTGAGATACAACTTGGGTCGCAGGACCGTTGAGTTTCTGGCTTTTGAGGACGATGGCATGGGCTGTGGTGTTGCTGAATGAGTGGGAGGATGTAGGCGTCGTATTCATTATTAGGAATTTCAAATTCTGCCAACAAGTACTTCTCCATATTATAAAATGATGCAGTATGCTGCTGTCACCTTACATTTACTACATCACAAGTACATAATGTGTGATTTTTCACTGGCCTTCCAAAAACAACAACAAAAAAAAAACAGGTTTCAAAAAAAAAAAAAGTCTAATTTTCAGATACAGGGATGGCATGTTGTTCTGCATGTTGTTCTCTTCTTGCAACATCCGGTTCTGTGCCAACATTTTCCAAAGCATGTGTGCAAGACTCAAGTTTCTGCTGCTATGCACTGACAAACTGCATTAAGCTACAGACATGGCGCAAACAGCTCAGTTGGCTAAAATAAATGACAGTGTAACAAATAAATGTGGTAGGTTCTTGCATGTAAAAGGTCTGCAGTGGAATAACTTCACAGTTCAAGATGCACCACACAGACCGCAAAACAGCCCACGCATGAAACTGAATTAAAATACAGCACTAACATAATCTGTGAGCAAAGCTCTAAAAATGTTAGAAATAGAAAAGTCACACTGACTTTATTGTTAGGTACTGAAAATGTATGTGACAATTCCCCAGAGCCCAGGTTAGTACTGCACTTAAGTACACTTTTGAGGTATCTTAAGTATTTCCAGTTGCTGCTACTTGGCACTTTGACTTCACTACATTTTAGAGGTAAATATTGCACTTCTTACCCCACTGTGTATTTCATAACTTTCAGATTAATAAAACAATATACAGTTTAATCACTTTATTGATCCCTGGTGGGTAATTCACAAGAAGTATAAGCTCCATCTTTACCAGCTGCAAATGTGTAATTATAACCCAGTTATATGCTATACATCAATGTAAAGCGAGCCATTCTATATGATGAGAACTTTTAGCTTTGGTACTTTAAGCATATTTTGATGCTAATATTAAGTGGGTATAGATAATGGGTGAATGAATGGATGATGAGCAGTAATCTGTGTGTCTTGGACCACTTCTCTTCTATCTCCGGACCTGCGTGTGTGGGAGGCGGTGGAGTGTTATTACCAGGAGCAGCTACAGCAGCAGCACCAGCAGAAGCAGCAGGCGTTTGAGGCGTTGGTGGCGGTGCTTCCCATCCTGTGGTGCGCTTGGAGGACACTTGCAGCTGTTTCCCGATGAACCTGCAGCTGTTTCTTATGCTTCTCCGCCCGCTCTGATCCCATGGACTGCAAGGAGAAGACGGGAGACCACAGTGAGAGCTGGTCTGTGGAGGGGACGGGTTTTTTTTGTTGCTGGAACCCGCATTAAGCTGGAGCATTACACACACACAACCTTCACAGCCCAATAAAGCACAAGAGATTAGAGATCTGCCAGGATGCGTGCAGATCCAAGGAGGCTCGCATCTTCCAGAGATAAAGTTGGTTGATAACGCTGTAAAAGCCTTGTTTAATGTTATCCCGAAACCCTGCAAATGATGTGTATTCGTTAAATTTAAACAGTATCTGAAGCCAGGAAACCGTGTCCCGACTCGTGGGGTCAACTTCTGTGATCCAACCCCAGTAATCAACACGTTTTTATCAATTAACAAAGCGTCACGCGTTTAGGTTCAGAGCTCTTAACGCAAACAGCTTAAGAAGCTGATGACAAATGTCCTACCGTTTTGTTGGATTATGGCGAATGTGACAGAACCAAATTGTGACGAGCCACAACCCCTCCTCATCTCTCTTCTCCTCTTTCTGTCTGAGGGATGAGCAGCAATGATAGCGACAAGGCGTTACTCTTGGACGGCAGCAATCGCACCATCAGTCGCATCCTCCGGAGAATACACACACATGATGCTCTAGTCATGAAATGCAGTTGCCCTAAAGCATGCAGTATACAGCCATCTATAGAAACATAATGACATTATGTGATCAGAAAACCTGATCATTTACAGTGTAGTCAGATTTGTATTACTTTAGGTTAAAAGCAGCAGCTCTACTAATATTTACTTTGCTTGATCAACGGTTTAATGATTTTTATGCAGATCACAATATGCACGAATTGTCCAAGATGCATTGTAATGTTTCTGGATGCTGGGAAGTCCAGACAGAGATGCTCCAGCCTCACTGGATCCGGAAATTATCCGCCTTATTCTCCAAAAAGATGTACGAGCACGGGCGCCAAACTGTTAAAAATCAAATATAAATGTGTACTCACTGTGCCACCATGATCACACATGACCACGATCACATCCGTCTACCTTGACTCAACACAAACCAGTTGGTTTCCCTACGCGCATGCGTTTCCTGCAAGTGTGAAAACCGGCCACAGCACATTGGGCAGTTTCTTAAAGCAGCGACTTCTTCTGCACAGACTGAGCTGCCAGACCATTGCACTGATGGTATTTTGATTCACAAATCTGTAACTGTATTATGATTAGACTCCCTAGCAGTGGTGCTAAATTGGAGTCAAACTGGTTATATCCTAGTTTATACCGTCCCCCACAACCCCATTCTGGGATCATTCGACTCTGCATAAATTAGAAAATGTAGAAATGTAGTAATACTATAAGATTGAAATCTTGCTTTCTGTAACACTGACAAGCTGTCAGTGTTTGAAAACAACGCATACCCTATAAAAATTGATAGATGCCACGTAGTTCTGGACACCAAGACACTGAATAATTTAATCAGACACCCGAAAAAGCAAATTAATCTGCAGCTTTTTCTCTCCTAATGCGGTCCTGTACCACATGTGTCCACCAGAGGGCAGTGGTGATCTATTTAAACACGCTAAGCGAATGAAAAGCAATAGAGAGTAGGTCAGGAGAACTTGAGATCAGTTGTGTAAACTGAAAACAGAAATGTTCTTTAAGATGAATTCTAAAATCTGTTTGGCCTTCAGGACCCTGCTTAGTGTGATGCTGCTTGGTCCCATGCATATGTAGAAACTGTCAAGAGCTCGAACTCCATCAATGAACTTCACCCATAATTCTGAATATTTCATATAGTCATGTTGTTATATGTCTTTTCATTATCTGCATATAGTCCAAATGCTGCAGTTGTTTAAAGGAATTAAAAACGCAGGTGTTTTGTTTGAGTACTTTCCTTGAGATTTTCATTTTTTATACATTTCAAACAAATATTGTAGATTATGTTTTAATGTATAAAATTTATCTTACAGTAATAATTGCTAGTTACTTTTTAGATTATGATTTTGGATACAAAATGCAAATTATTCATTTATTGGATTGTTGAAGTTAAAACCTATGGTTCACAACCTTTTTTGTTTGTGATTCCTTAATGTTCATAAAGTAAAACTAGCCTATTTTTTAAAAGCAAAGAGTATATATGAATATAAATTAGTAAAACTTGCTAGTCTCACAATATTATTAATCAGTTTTTAACCCCTTGAATGTGCTTTTTCACCTGTATCTGCCCCTTTTTTTTTTAAATTATTGTAAAACCTTTTAGAGCTCATACATGTTCACGGTATCATTGTAAAGATAATGCTCAGGAGTTTAATTTTGTATATTTTATTATTTATGAAGTTTTAATATCCTTTCTGGTTTTCTGGATTTTTTTGTATTTATAATCTTCACTCAACTACAATATGACAGTCATAACTCACAGTTCCCATTAAGAACACTGAGGAACTGACCTCAGTGTTTTAGTTGGGCCCCTTCAACATGGAAAGTAAATGACTAAACGTAAATTAAAATGGTAAAATTAACTTTGCCTTTGTCTGTAGTTAAAAGGCAACCAGCCTTTTAAACATTCTAATCTGACTAAAACAGAACTTGCGTCTACACTATATCTCACTGCACTAAGGTTACAAACACACACACAGGGGGGATAAGAAATTAAATTCAACACATTTTCTTACATGGTACATATTGTGGAATGAGATTATCCACTGCTGCTGAATAAGCCAAATACAACATTTCAAATATGCAGCAGAATAGGAATGTCCATTACATTCCACTTAGTGTGGCTTAGAGAAACACGTTCAATATGCAGATGGTTCTCTCTCTAGGCCTCTTAATAAATCATATATCTCACAGGTGTACAAATCAGATTTCATCTTTAATTGACCCTGCTCTCTGGTAAGACAACATTACTGTGATCTATAGCTGGAACATATAGCCAGTGAATATTAATCTTTTCACGTGGGTGTGAGCGCTGTCAGTTTCAGAGCCTCATACAGAGAGGATGCAACTTTTCAAAATACATTCAGTAAATCACCCACCCGGCCATCGGTTGATTTACCTCCTATTTTCCCAGTTTGCAACTCATTCATCACAAGTCATTGCTCCTACTTGGGCAGGGAGTTAAAAACCTTTAAAGCATTGAGGCTCAAAAGTTATTATTTTCACTCATTTCTGTTTTGAAATTTAAAGTAGGGTCTTGCACTGTGAGCCTCTCTCCAGAGTTTATCTCAGAGCCACAGAGGTTTCTGCTGCAACGATTCCTCTTCTTTGTTATCTGGATGATTAAATGCCATCCTTACACATCTCCACTGCTCGGGTGGCCGTGCTGAAATGTGGTATAACTATAAGCAGCGCATCACCACTTTCCTCCATTATGCGAAAGTGAAGACAAGCCCAGTAAGTTTGCACATAAGCTGTTTATTTTGCAGTCCACCCAGTGTGAACTTTGATAAAATTCAGTCACACCTTTTATAAATTTGTGATCACTTGCAGTCTGGAGCCTTGGATTAGTTTTATTTTATATCAAGCATACAGCATAATATTTGCATTCATTTCTCTGATTGTGTTGTTGTGGCGTACTTGGCACAATTGACCTCAGTGAGGAGGAACTATTGTGCAGCCGATATGTTCCCAGCAGGGAGTAAATAAGAAGTGCAGCCATAGCTAAAGCTAAAGAAAGCACTATGTCAGTTTCATTTTTACACAGAATAAACCATTAGATTCTTAATAATGTATGGTTTATAATTTCATAGAACTTGGGGTTTACTTCATATTTTACATGTATTTCGAATGTGCCACCCCTCTTTGAGTTTGTTCTCCCAGCCTGGCCACACTGTTTAAAATTTCCTAGATCCACCCCTGAAGGATTTTTTGTTTCTTTTTGACAGTTTTCATGTGAACAACCAAGTGCAGCACTGTTTGAAAATGTGTGTTGTTATTTCCATAGTTAAACAATACTGCATGACAAACAGTTCCACACCAAGAACATGACTTGCTTACTATTTATTTACATTTTTGTTACCTTTTCACAGGAAAGAATAAAAAAGCCCTCAAACCTTCCAATATATAGTACAATCAATAAATCACAGACCTTTTTCTTTCTTGAGCACAGGAAGCTCAGAAGTAATCAACATGTTTCCAATAATCTCAGTGTGTAAGTTAATGAGATTTCTCTGGGAGGAATAAAAATCATCTATGCCGGACTGTGTCCAATGCCATTTGCCTCTCCTGCACATATGCTATAGAAGAAGAACAATAACAGTAACACCCACCAGTAACATAATGTAATTCTATTTAATAGGCCTGCAGTCAGAGAGCATGTGATTCCTGCATTCCCTGGGGAAGAGACTTTAATGAGAAGCACGGACAGCAGGTAATAGTGTAACAAGGACGGAGGTACTTCATATTCACGCCTCATTTACTGCCAAATAGCAACCGTGTCTGCAGAAAGTCTAAAAGCAAGTGTGGAAAAAAGGCGACATCAGAAGAAGAAAAATGTTTTTGGCACTGATTCTCGAATGTGTTTTTCCTCATACACCTGGGAAACCGAAATAATTTGGTGGCTCATCCTCTGGTTTCTGTTGGAGTCTGAGTTATATCATCCAGTTGTCATGATAAACTGAAGGTATATACGCGCCTCCTCTCTGACTTGGAGGACTTGTACATCCTGTAGAAGTGCGTGGTGGCAGGTTTTAAGCACAGCCAGTCAGATGGGTGCAGGTTCTTTTTAGTATCTGTCTTGAAGCTTGTTAAGGTTTAATGTTCTGCGACCTCTACTGTTTTACATCAAAGCTTAACTTCTCCTGTGGACACCAACATGGAAAACATGGCACCTAATTAGAGATCTCTCAGCAATAAAATTAAGGCTGTGAGAGATGGAATGTGTTCCTCTGAAATATTTCACTGAGAGAGTGATGACTTGCTGATATATTGCTGCAGTGAGGTAGTAAAAAAGAGCCAGTGTCTCTGCTTCCACCTCCTTCATACCAGTTGGTCTCATATTTTAGGATTTGTCGAGGATCCATCTTATTTGTCCCTTACTGGAGACAGATATAGTACTGTGGATGTAAAGACGCCTTCTGTGCTGTATTATTGGCAGTTGCAAATGTTAAGTATTACTTTCAATTCTCCAAGTTCTTTTTCTAGCATCCGTCCATATATACATTATGCTATTAATAGTTATGCTTAAATTAATCAAATAAATTACACATTATAAATATGTGATTTAGGGGAAGGTAAACTGAATGCATGAAATCCATTAGAGTCAAAGGCAGTGTTAATTTTGGCATCAATTTAGTTTTAGTCTTAACCTTTTTTTAATATAAAAATGTGTGTTAGTGTTATTTATTACTGTTATTTTAGGCTACTCTTATTACGCGCGCCGTCCCACTTCGCCCACATATTCACCTGCCTTCTATTCTATCTAATAACCATTCAGATTGTTAGAAAAAAACTATATGTGAGTATTTGTGAGGGCATTGGTTAAAGCAAGTAATAACCAATAACATCAAGTAGCAACAACTTGTCTGGGCACTTAGGATTTGGGTGGGCTGGACAATATAAAACATTGTTCAACTGAAGCAAAGTACAGTAAATGAAAATAAAAACAGACTAAATAAAGATCAGAGAGCAGTTATAGTGCAGTAATACGTTGGAAACTGTTCCAAATGCAACACAGAAAACAAAGGTGTAGCAGAAAGGCACAGGAAAACAGCAGAGTTTTGAGTTTAGACTTGAAAGTGGCAGAGTTGTGGCACATTTAGGGGCATCGAGAAGCTGGTTCCATCTGTGTACAGCATAGTAGCTAATAGCAGCTTCAGTCTGTTTGACCCGAGATTCTACCAGCTGACTGCTTCCTAGCAATCTCAGAGCCCTGGTTTGTAGTGTTCAAGGAGACTGGAAATGTATTTTGGCCCCATACCAGTGACTGATTTATAAACTGGCAGTAGCAAATAACAATCGATTCTGTAGGTAACTAGCAGCCAGTGTGAGGACATAAGAACAGGAGTGATAGTCTCAGTTCTCCTGGGCCTTGTTAAATTTCTGGCAGCAGTGTCTGAATGAGCTGAAGTTGTCTAACAGTCTTTCTGGGAAGACTAGACAAAAGACTGTTACAGTAGCCCACTTTGCTGGAGATGAAGACCTTGTCTGGACATGAGACCTGTATTTGTTTGAGAGGATAAATTGATGATTTAATTATGGCCCTAATGCGTGTGGCCTTAATTAAGACACTAAGATTTCTACCTTGAGTTTTTATCCTTATAGCTCTACAAATAACTATCATTCACTCCTCCTTGTTTCCAAATACAATCATATGTCATGTGTTGATTTAAATGAAGGAAAGTTAATTGCATTCAGGTATTTACTTGCTCTAAGTGCTGATGGAGTGAGCCTAAGTGACCCAGTCACTTCGGGAAAGAACTAAGTATATCTGTGTAGCTGTGATAAGCAATGTTATTGTCATGTACTGTATAAATGTAAAATAAGCAAACAGAGGAGATGGATTTGTTTAGTATATCAAAGCAGCAAAGACCTCTGCCTAAAGTGCCTGTTTCAAAGTCTCTGCTCATGTTTGCAACATGCACAGTGTGATAAAGCTGAGACATTTTGCCCAGGGAAACATTACAGTCAGATCTATAAATATGTGCCTGCTGAAACCAAACTATCAGGCTCATTAAATGTTCTCTGTGATGCCAGTTTGGACATTTTTCTAAGGCAAAGAAGGAACAACAAGTTAAAACCTGTGGGCAAAATTCTCTCATTCTATCAGAATGGTTTCAATGGAACATAAATAA